CATTTTAAGTCACTCGTCGTCCACAGTTTCATTAGCAACCGCTGTTACCCCACCATTATGATCTGGGGTTGTTGCTTTGAGCTTTTTGCTTACTTTGTGCCAACCAGTCGTTGAGTCATTACGAGGATGTATGCTGCCAATGCTGTATAGAAAACCTCCCACTTCGAGTATTCCTTATAGAAATTCTGTTACAATGCTTTTTTCAGATTACTTGCTGCTGAAGAACAGGCAAAACTTTGTCGTGACGATTCTACGGAAGGTTTGAAATTCTATCCAAATCGCTTTCTTATTGATGTCTAGACGTGAGATGCCCATTGACTTTGTAGCAAGGCTTAGAGCCTAATGATTTCCCCATGCATCGTCTCATTGTGATTTCATGACTAGTGAATTAAGGTGTTCCGTTTGCTGTTTTCTAGTCGCGAATGAATCTCCTATTCATCATTTTGTTGTTTACATATTAGGCCAGATGGAGACATAAGAAATCTGTTAGCATTCCTGATCGTGTTACTTTCCGCGATATACTTAATTTCTTACGTTGAGTTTCAATGTGTTCCTGACTTAGGATGCGCCTAGATCTCTGCTTAGATGTGTCTGATTCTGTGGCAAACAGATTGTACTAAGCAATGCACTGTGTACAAATGAAGACTTCTCATAAGTTCCTTTTTTCTGCTTCGGTCATTTTCCGATTTCATACTTTGATATTTACTTTCGACACACCTCTGTTGCATGTATGTTATATTTTTGTCGGTGTGTTTTGTCTGCTATTTCAGTAATCGAGTAAATGGAAAAAGAAGGACCGCCTGGCGTGGATGTCGAGCAACCACCGCCTGCGCAGCCCAAACATGACGCTACACAGCCGGTAGCAGGTATTTTTCTTCTCGAATAGTAATAATTCAGCACTTCTCTTATGGACCACTGCTAAGAATTTTCTTCAAAAAGGATCTACTAAAAGAACAAGAACTGACGCGTTTTTGCAACCGTTATCATAAATGAATGACTCCAATTTGTTAGATTGAATTTCGAAATCTGCTTCCATTCCTGACACAGGAACTCAGTCACTCAAACTCTGCTGCGATTTCCTCTAGCCATTACATAGATTCAAGACGGATCTGATATGGTTGCTTTGAGGCCTCCTCTCGCTCAGTAACGCTTATGTGACCGAATTTTACTTAAGAAAATTAAATTGTTTGCCAAGATAAAGCTATTCGCTCATGCTCAATTGAACAAATGAATCCGAAGAGGTCGTTTCAGATCCGCTCGCTGACTCTGGAGATGATGATGACGACGACGATGTTGAAGTGACGATTGGTGTGATACCGCCTGTAAATGTGCAATACAGTCTTGTGAGTAACGTTAAAAATACAGTAGCTTCTGATGTGGTTTACATTCAAACTAAAAAGAAGTTATGTCAAGCCGCAGGTTTCTCAAGCTCACTTCGAGCCTGAGCGCTGATTTAGATCTAGTGGAGTTAGTTTCCCGAAATTTTGTTTGGAATTTTGTTTGCTTCACGGTCCATCATATCAATGGTAACGTCACTGAAATGGTGGACCATGAAGCAAACATTGTTGTTTTTCAAAAATGTTCTCTCGTGGTTTCAGAAAGGT